GTCCGCAACTGTACGTAGGTCGGGGGGTAGGTCATTCCAGAGGGCAGGAGCTGCCACAGAGAAGGCTCTCCCCCTGGGGGTCGCCAGCCGGCATTGTCTGGCCGACGGCACTCTAAGGAGGCCCTCTCTGTGGGAGCGGACTGGTCGAAGGGAGGTGTTTGGTAGGAGGCGGTCTTGCAAATACCTAGGTCCATTGCCACGGAGCGCTTTAAAAGTTGTAAGTCCACACTGAGTAAAATAGCTATTATGACTAAACTATTAACTACATGTATGTCAATAACTGTGTTAATACTTTAAATATCTACACTGCAGCATTCCTTCACTTGAAGTCTTCCAGGTGTGTTAGATAGAACCAAAGTTCCCAGAAATCCTACCCACTTTATTCTTTGCCTTTCCTGGAGGTTAAAGTTCCAAGACATCTAATGTAAGACCAGATTGAGGAAAGGCATGTACTGTATGTATGTATTTATTTGTCACCTATCTCCTAATGAAATGACTCTGGGCTGGAATCCAGTATAAAGGCCCTCGGTCTCCAGGTTATAGCCCTCAAGGGACATGAAACAAGGGATGAAAGTAATTAGGTCAAGGCAGGACACAAACAAATTACTATGGTACAAACAAATAATTAACAAGCCTCGCCTTGATTCTAAAAACAGTTCCCACAAACTGTCATTTAAATAAGTGTGATTAGAAGGCTTGGTGTCAGATTTAAACTGTTTGATTTGGAATACTGAGGTCAATTTAACCGAGATCCCTAAGAGGGCAATCCTTGCCAATTGCCACTGTGCCTTCTAAAGAAAAATCAAGGTTTTTTCCCCCCCAAATATAGCCATTTGGCCAATACCTTATTATTACTCTTTCATCAGACCACAGATTGTGGGGTAGTCAAATCTTGACATTAAAATGTTTTTCTTACTGGCACGGCTCTCAGAACGCTCTTTGCTTGTATGCAGAATAGGAACACTGTTATTCCTATGTTAAGCAAATGTAAAGCCAATCTCAGCTGCAATTAGAGTAGATACCTGTTTTTAGTTCCCTGTGAAGGAGGCCACTTGTATCAATCTCCCCATGTTGTCCCTGCTTTGTCAGTCAACTAAGAGTAGACAGAAGATGAACGCTGAACTTTATTCATGTTATAAATATCAGCTTACAAAATAAACTGGGGGTCTTTATCCGTCTGGCTCCCCAATGTTTATGACAGACAACCCCCGTCTCATAAGGCGAATCTCATTTCCTCATTCTGCTCAAATTGTTGAAACTATTAACTTTATCTTGCTCTGTCTCCAAACTTAATAGCTCCTATGAGACCCAGCGAGTAGCAAGACACTATGGGAACTGTGGCCCAAAACCCCTGCAGAGCATCTACAAGTAGATGATGGAATCTTTGCCTATAGATGTGCATAGTAGACTTGCAAAATTGACTGAACGTGTGCAAAACTGAAATGGGTTTTACTAGATTACAAGTAGACTTTGACTTATGACCGGTCACTTAGCTACCGGTCAAAGTTACGACGGACCTATCTGGAGGTACTTATGATCTGGATTTAAAGTTTGGGGAGTCAGACCTTCCCTCCCCACAATCACATGAGCATACTTTGGGCGCATGGTAGTTGACTCACATTTATAGCATCCTTGTGGTCACCTGAGTTTGTTTTATGACAATTTTGTTGAAAACTGACATTTACATCTGGTTTTCAGCAAAACTGGCAGACAGAGAAAACCAT